AAAATGTTTCTAAAGTTACAATTCGTGTCTTTTTGGATTTAATTATCTATGAGTTTAATACATGAATAGAATTTTTAATTGCTTTATGAAAATCATTAGTAAAAAAACCATTACAAATTGTCTATTTTATAAAGATTTCAATTCTCCAAACTAACCAATTATTTCATTTCGTTTTAAGTATCTGTCATTAACTAAACTTACCTTTAAATTCCTGACTGTGGTATAGTTTTGATTTTTTGCCGATGTTAGGATTTCTAAAGCTATACCAGGGTTCCCTTGGTTATAAGCCAGCCCTGCGCAAAAAGTAGTCGCCCTCCTCATTGGAAAGTGACCAACCTCTTGTAATTCTTTCCACAATTTTAAAGCGTATTCCAAGCTTTCTTTGGTGTTCTAAAATATGAAAATTCGCAAATTTAAAGCATGTACTTCAATCCTATAAATTATTCGTTCTCTTATATAAATATAAAACTGATATGATGTAATTTTTTGGTAACAAAACAAAACTGACGTACGACTTTTGTGTTTTTCGTAAACGTTATACAGTAACTCTGCATGATACAATAGGTGCGTTTTAATCATCCGCTTCTGCTTCCGGAATTGTCGGTTTAGTCGTTTTAACCTGTCAGATTAAAACAAGAAAACCGACAATTCCGAAGCAGAAGCGGATGATTAAAACGCATCTAATGAAAAGAAAGAACAAGTAACATTATCCAGTCATTTAAGCTTAAATTAGGTAAGAATCTCGGAATTCGAGATACCCAGCTGTAAATCTGTAAATACTTGTATATTGACACCCTAAAAGTTGTCTCAAAACCTACATATGGTAGGATGTATGCAACTATTAAATTTCAAGGTCAAAGGTCACAAAAATCAGTTTTTTGCGCTTTTTTTATAAATAGCTCATTTCTTATTGGTTTTTTGCTATTTGTATTTATTATCAATATTGTAGAATACAAAATTCTCTACAAATTTTGTTTAAAAAAATTCAGACTACAGTAAGAACGTAAAAGCTATGGAGCAGCAGAGAAGAACTGCTGCACTTTCAAAAACGTATGAAGTCTGTTTCGATGAAACAATGGTTGTACCAGTGACTCAAGAAAAATTCTTATCAAATCGAAATAACAAAGATATGCTCATTAATATGTTAATTGAAAAATTACAAGCTGCAAACATTACTACTAAACAAGCCAGAGATGATGATGCGGATGTTCTTATTGTTGAAACTGCAATTAAAGAATCAAAGTCTGAAAAAACTGCAGTTATAATAGGACAAGATATTGATTTACTTGTCATTTTAATTGGGCGTACACTGTCTTACGAACAAGAAATTTTCTTTAAAAAAGTTACGAAAGGAAATGTATAAACGGAGATATACTCGACTAAAAGTTTTGATAATTATCCTCATTCCAAAACACATATTTTATTTCTGCACGCATTAAGTGGCTGTGACACAACTTCTGCGCTTTTTAAAAAGGGAAAAAATCATTTTTAAAAGTTTTAGAGACTGACAAATTTGGATGAACTAGCTGCAGCATTTGAGGAAGAAAATTGTTCGGCTCAGAGATTATTAGAGAGTGGAACTCAAACCTTATTGGCAGTCTATAATGCTCCAAAATCTGTGAAAAGTCTCGATCATCTTCGTTATATACATTACGTCAAGTCTACAAAACCTAATAAACCTGTGCAGCTTTCAAATATTCCACCAACAAGTTCAGCTGCTCATCAACATTTCAAACGTGTATATTATCAAGTTCAAACTTGGTTAGGGCGAAACGATTTTCTGGAGCCTATTATGACAATTTTACCACCAGCTCCAGAAGATTTGCTAAATACAATTTTCTGCAACTGCAAGAGTGGTTGTGGTTCGCGATGCGGATGCAGGAAAGCGGGCTTGCAATGCTCTTTAGCTTGTGGCTAATGTAATGGGCAAGCTTGTCTCAATGCTCTACCATATCAGAACGACATTAATGAAGATGGAACCTTTGACCCCGAAATCATGGAAGAACTTAAGACAAATGTCGTTGAAGACGATAATGAAGACCAGTTTGAAATTTACCAGCAGCCGGAAGACGACGATGAAGAGGAAGAAAATGATTAAAATTATAAATTGTAGTTTTTGTACCCTTTATTCCATTTTTTTTTACTTTTAATAAAAATAAATGATATTTTTTAATAAAAAGATTAATTCATAATTTATTTGTTTTTTTTTTTTTTCATCATGTAAGAAGTTATTAATATTAATTAGGTTAAAATTCAAATATAATTCAGGCAGGTAAGTGTTGTTAAATAAATTAATACTGAATAAAAAGTGGAGAGGTTAGGAAAAAAATGATAAAATATAATAGTTATTAAAAATTGACAAATATTTATAATCATTGAATTATCGATAGTTCATCAACTATATCGCGTTTTCGACCGGAAGCACCGGTTGACTTGAAGTGATGCTGTGACCGCGCGCTCTCCGCCCTCTATCTCGAAAACGGTTCACCGTATGAAAAATTTTTTAAAACAAAATTTGTAGAGAATTTTGTATTCTATAATATTGATTATAAATACAAATAGCAAAAAAACCCATAGGAAATGAGATATTTACAAAAAAAAGCGCAAAAAACCGATTTTTGTGACCTTTGACCTTAAAATTTAATAGTTGCGTACACCCTACCATATGTAGGTTTTGAGACAACTTTTAGGGTGTCAATATACAAGTATTTACAGACTTACAGCTGGGTATCTCGAATTCCGAGGTGAACTTACTATAATGACTGGACTATTAACGCATTTTTAATGGCTGACTATTGATACAGAAAGTTTGTTTAGATTAGTATTTGACTCGTTATGTCATAATCTCTGCAAATTTCTGAATTTTAGCACGAAACACTCTTTCTTGGGTTCTGTTTTAAGTTTTATTTGATGGTTATGTAAAGGATCTTAAGTTAATTTGTAAATTTTTTATGCTTTTCCACTAAAAATCTGAGTAAATTAATATGTATGATGATTTGTGATTAATACATTTGTGAAGTATTTTCAACCACAACCAAACACATTAACTTTCATAGTTGTAAATCGTGGGAGCAGAGCTGATAGGGATCGATTTTATTTTCTTGTTGTTTAAACAACAAAATTTATACATGCAAACGATTTGTCAGCTGAAATGAGAAAACGATGAAATGAGTCAACAGAAAGTAAAATAAAATTAATTTTTTTGAACAAGGATAATTTCCTTAAGAAGCTTATTTCAACTAATATCAAGTATAAATAGTAGCTTAAATAATAATAACAAGAATACAAGTGTCTTTATTGAATTTGCAAAGACGTTTGAAGATAGTCCAGTAACTGAAGGGACCAACCTGTCATTAAGTCGGTCCAGATTTCCGTTGTGGCTCAACTCTTAGGTCTCGGCGGTCGCTTCCAAGGTCGAAAACTTTTACCAACTCTGCTGCGTCGGAAAGGGCCCTAAAACTGGTTTCCCGCCAATATCTTCCACAATATGCAAATTAGAGAATTTTTGTTTAGATAAAAAAGAAAGATCTTATCATTATCTACAAAAATGGTCCCTATCATTTTTGTCGGGAATTCGACAGGTTTCGAGATAACCGCAATCAAAAGTCCCCTCGTTCAGCCCCTGCTTTATCTCTATAGCAATGCTGATTAGCTTGTAAACAGGTGAACAAATTGTTTCAGAACTCGGTCGAAAATTTATATTTTTCGATGATTCAAAATTCATTACAATGGGAAAACCAATAGGTATCGATCCATGTGCCCTGAAGCCCGTTATTTCCTGTCAAGAACATTGAAAAAGGGGTCAAAGTTGCGTTTTCCCACTATTTTGGACAACTTTATAGTAATTCATTCATATTTTTTTCTTTTAATAGTTTTTTATCCCATTTTTGTTTTAAATAGGATCTTGAGATGTCTCGAATGATCTCAGAAATTTTTTTCCAGTATCTTCCTGGCGTTTTAAAACAAAATTGATTTGTTTATTTGCATTTTTCATACGTTTTCGGAGTTCTAGAAATCTTTAAAACAAGCAGTAATTAAAAACTCATGTTTCATTATATTGTTATTCAATGCACACCATTTTAAAGCTTAGAGTGTACTTTTCGAATGTATTTTTTTTTTTAATAAAGTTGCTCCTTTTTCCAGAAATCGGGAAAATTGATCACACCGCGGAAAACCGGACTTTTTTTTTAAATACTTCTTGTTCCCCTCTGTTCATTTTTTGAACATTAATACCCAGACCGATTTAAAGCTGATATTCTCACCTTTCCATTTGTATCAATTGATCCCCGTGTGTGAGCGTGGTTCTTAACTGTTTGTTAGAATTATCTCCCCCATTTTTACGCTCTCCGCCTGAGATCCATGATATTCCATCATAACCTAACCACGTGTATCCACGCGCCACGCGCTCACCTTAATCGTCTGCTCTGTTGTTTTTGGAGTCGTTATTGTCGGTATTATTGATAGTATTTTAGAAAAATATTGATAGTATTTTATCATTATCAAGTAAGTTGTTAAAAAAAAAAGAAGTTTTTAAAGTGAAAAATTCGACGTCATTCTTAAATCTTCAAGAATTTGTTTTTCGTTTGTGGGGAACAGAAAAGGTTTGGTTGATTTAAAATAAAGTCTATAAATTTGTTGTAATTCTTATTACATTTCAATAATATATTTTTGTAAAGCTCTTGTTGCAGCAATGAAAGCGGACTCCGTTCCAAAATGTTTCCATTGTGCCCAGGAAGTTGTGGATGATGTTGCAAATGTCACTCGAGGCTTAGAAAAATTAATTGATGTGAGCAAGGAAAGGGACGACAATTTTCACCTATTCATAAGGAAGCAATCCTCTATAAAGATGCACGAAACCTGCAGGCTACATTATTAAACGAAGAGGCAAGTGTCCGTACAACGACTTTATCAAGCACTCCACAAGGGATCCGGCCCACCCGGAACTCTTGAAGATGATTTTTTTGTCAGTGCAAGACAGGCTGCGAGAAGAATTGTTCATGTTTGAAAGCCGGACTGAAATGCTCGCCTGTCTGTGGTTCCTGTCAGTCGACAGTGTTTTAATTATAACAAAAATGAAGGTATTTTCCTGGAAGAATTAGAGATGGATTGAGACCCAAAACGGGTTGAAGGGGAGGAGGATGAAATAGCTGTCGAGACAGCAACACAGGGGTTGGAAAATCAGGGAGAAGGGACGCGTGGAGGAGGGGAAGAAATAGAGCAAGAGCAAGACGATGAAGAGTATGATTCTGATGACATTGAATGGTTTAACGTATAAATTATAAGCATTGCTATGTATTTCGTATTTTCAACATGTTTTTCATAATAAAAGAAATTTTTCAGAAACTTTCTTATTTTTCTGAAATCCTGGACCTATATTTTTCCGATAGAAGTTGGCGAAATTTTTTGCAAAAGACGCAGAAAATATAAAGGGTCTTCTCGGCTCAATATTCATCACACTCTAAAACTAGTAACCCACTATTAGGCAAAGCGCCGGGATTTGAGACTGCCACATGAAAAAAATTTTTTTTTTGCACTTTTCTATTAAATTTTGCAACGCAAATTACACAGAACATTCGGCAATATAGATGAGATACCCCAAGCGCTACTTTACAGAAAAAATCCCGTAGAATCCACCAATAATTGTCGAAAGATCGATTGGTGCCCGGATTTCCATTCATAGGCCCCATAATTTAGTAAGCAGAGGTACGCCGCTGGCGCCATCTACAATTGGTCTCCAAAGTCCAAAACATGAAAATCAATGTATTCCCAACTCCCTCGAGCGGAAATTCAGTGAGAAACTAACATTTCTATTCAGTGCAAATATTCGGGCTTTTTCAAAGGCCGTTTTTGCAAAAAATATTCGTCTTGCGAAAAAAATGGTAGGGACCATTTTTATAGATAATGATGCGATCTTCATTTTTTATCTAAACAAAAATTGTCTAATTTGTATATTTTGGCAGATATTAGCGGGAAACTATTTTTTCGGACTTTAGGGGCCATTTTGAGCCCTTTCCGACCCAGCAGTGTTGGTAAAAGTTTTCGCCCTTGAAAGTAACCGTCAAGACCTAAGAATTGAGCCACAAAGGAAATCTGGACCGACTTAATGACAGCTTTGCATATTTTCAGGTCTTCAGTTACTGGACTATGAGGTAATGAGGTAGTTTCCCACAAACAACTTTTAAAGGTTCTTGAAAGTTATGGAATCAGGGGAACAGTGTTAAGAGCTTTTGAAAATTATTTAATTAAAAAAAAAAAAAAAACAAGTATTAAAAATAAAGAATGGCCATAGTGATATTGTTACAGTAAAAAATAGTTCCACAGGTAGCAGTCCTGGGTCTGATACTATTATACTGCTCACACAGTGGTCTGTGAAGAGTATTATAGGTTTACTTTAACCGTCAGTCCGATGTAATGTTTTGTCTGCATGTAACAAAAATGAAAAATGATATCTTGAAATTTTTATCTAAAATCTATAAGGGGATAGAGTATATTGATTAAAAAAAAAATCTGATTAAAAATGGAGGCTAAAGGTGATTGCAATTAAAAAAATCGAAAACAAGGAATGAAATGAAAATATCAAGCTCTATAAGGAGACAAAGACTAATGATTTTGAAAAAAAAAACTAGAAATTCTTAAAGCATTTGAGATGTAACGAATGCTTTGCTCACATCCTGAAAAGCAACAGCTTGTACTCCTTCTTCTGGTGTCATAATGTGTTTATTTCAATTTTTGAGAAAAAGATAACAAAAAAAACTAAAGCTAAACTTGCAAAATAATACTGTTTAAGACACTATTTCATATCAATACTAAAAAGATTGTATTGTTGTTCGCAAAAATCTTCTAAACAGGTTTAAACAAGAAAGTAACAATATTGCTAATAAGGCACAAAATAAAATTTTAAAAATGAAATACATATTTATCTAAATACGAAGAAATACATAAAAAACTAAGTGTCTAGTTAATTTTACACTCCAGTGTAATCACTTGCTTGGAAAATAAACATATTGGGGAAATAAATATCAAAATATAATAGAAAAATGTTTGCAATAGTATTACCTATATGTATACATAAAAAAAACCTACTTATTTTTAAATTGTTATGACTTTATTAGACATCCACCCTAGCTTGTTTAAAAACTCAGTATATGAAGGGTAGGGGGAAAACCAACGTCCATTTTATCGGAATTTTTAAGGAATCAACTTGTTATGTTGGTGATACCAAGGCCCAAACACATGCAACATTATAAGAGAATAAAATAAATGAGGTCCAAATAATAATACATTTAAAAATATTCATAAAACGTTTTTGTTAGCCAAATACTAACGAATTTTATGAAATATTGATGTACAGGTAAAAATTTCTTTATTTTAGGTTAGTTTTAAAATGGAAATCATTCCTTTTTAACAAAAGTTCTTTGTCAGGTTTTTTTTTTAACCTGAATATAATATTTAAACGTTTAAATTCTTTTGTAACAAGTTAACTACAGTAATACATTACATAATAAATATCAACATGCAGTTTATTTATTTCTATGACTGTAACATAAGATTTGGTAATAATATTAATTACAAACTAAATTTTCTTAATAAGTCAGTTTTGTGACATCTTCTGTTTTCCCCTTACCCTTTATATAGAACTTAACTCAATTAAAAGTCAAATGGAAGAAAAATTAAAGTGCTCTTACCAATTTATAACATGCAGCCATAGTTAGAACAACAACATTTCTTGGATATCTAATCCCCTCCAATTGTTTTTCCTTTATAAGATCTACACATTCTAACATTTCCTCATATTTTTGATTTTCAAAAAGTAGATCTAATAGTAATTGATAACTTATTATTTGATCGAAAAATCCATTCAATTCTGGACATTTGAAACACTAAAAAATTAATATATTTAAGAAGCGTTTTTGGCTGTATTAAACATAATTACCTCAACTGCTAAATCTGGTCTGTTGTGTAAATAAAATAAACGCATTACTACTGGACCAAATATAAAACTTCCAAAACGCAATTCTCTATTTTGCGAGTTAAATCTAAAAAAAAGTTAATAATTATTACTCATAAAAAATAAAACAAAAAAAAATATGTATACTTTTTTATCATTGTAACAACTAATTCTAGATCTTTTTCATCTGTTGATACATGAATCATGTTCTTCAAATCTTCTGTAAACACCATGTTCTTATTACTATCATTATTAATATTTTCTAACATTTTTTCTTTAAATTTATCAGCTATATTTTCTAACTGTTGTTGCGTGATTTGGCATGTGTGTTCAAAGCCATCCAACCCTAAAGAGGATTTTGCGTAAAGTTGCCGTACATCTACAAGAAAAATTTATAAATATTATTTTAGGTTATGTAATTTAAAACAACTTACTCTGTAAATTATTCGGAGCCGAACGTAAGTGGCTATTAAGTTGAACGATCTTACGAAATGCTGAACAATTTACTTCTTTTAAGGTAGTTATTAGTTTCGTAGTCAACATTTTTATATTCTTAAATAAATGTGCTGAAAAACTGAAAGAAAGAAAAATTATTGACAATTCAAACCTAACCCAGGGCTGGTATATCTAAGGGGGGTCGCGACATAGACCCAGTAAATGGATGAGGGGGTGACTGAGGCTAGGGGGGAAATAGTAGTCAGCTTAAGTTGGCAACACTTTTCTGATGTTCGTTTGAACGAGCATCGTGCATAATAATGTCAATATGGTGCAAGTGGAATGAACCACTGTTTTCCTCGTAGTCCTAGTCCAATGTCGAATTAAAACTAAAAACATTTTGTACTTTTTTATATACCAAATTATGCAATTTGTTTCCACTTTATTTTAATGTTACATGAATAGGTACATGCGTTTGTGCTGCGGTAAATAAGTGTTCATGTGAAAATTATATCTTAAACTACATTGTGACTGCAGGCATCTCGAAATTGAATGCTGTAAATCCAGGATTTAAATCTTTCATAGTGTGTTGCTTGGGATAAATTGTAAAAAAGGTGTTGGACAAAACCATTATTAAAGAGAAATTAGTTATCATCAATAAGATATTTTGTAGTAGCTGGTCTCTATAAATAATAAACTTGAAAGACTGAATTAGTAGTCACTTTTACACTAGAAGTAAAAACAAAAAAAAATGTGTGGTTGAGACTAATTTGTGTATTTAATAAAAACATATTTAACATAAAAGCAGGTGTTATTTGAAATGTTTTATTTTAGTTTAATCTTTATAAATTGTGGGTACATTTGATCAGAATCTTGCAAATACTATAAAATGCATATGCTTCTATATGGTTAGTATTGGAGTAGAAGCACAAAAGTTTTGAATAAAAAATATTCTTTAAATACAATGTTCACTAGATATGCTAATTTTCTATTTGAAACCATACATGTTTTCTATTATAGTTTTCATACGTTTATAATCCTGGAGATACTGGAATATTTTGCTTGATTACTAAACTTTGGATGTTTTTGTTGTAGTCTGCTGTTAACACTATTGTCCTGAAATATTAAAAAAGCTAGACAGAGGTTTGTCCAACTCTTTTGTCAGCTTTGTTAATCTATGCTGTTATTCTGCATGTAGACATTTTTTACTGGAGATTTTCTCTAAGAACTGTATTCAATTTCAAATTTCGGCCAGTTTTAGGAAAGTACCTCTGTTGTAAAGGTATTTCAAAGCCATCCTTTGTGAGATGTAGACAACAAATACATGCTAAAATGTATAGAAAACAAATCGCAAGATATTACACAAAATTATTTAAATTAACTAAAAACATACAAATGAAGTGAATAATACCTACCAACAATTTTAAAAGACCTAAAATAAATAGACTTAAGGGACTGGAGCTCTAAAAAAGAGAGCAATAATTTGTTATGCATCATCTATAAGAAAATTGTCTTCATCTCTTCAATTACCTTTTAAAATAAACAAAACCAAAACAGCACAAAATTGAATATGATCTACTTTTCCCGACGTATTCTATGTACGTCTGAGATTAATAATTTATTAAATTGAAATATTTTATCCTAAAAAATATGGGCATTTTATAATGGAAATGTCATTTATAAAATGACAGATTTTTTTCTTATATTGGTAAACCTGGCGACTACAAGTTGCCACGTTGCCAGATCAATGGCGACTACTATGTGACTATTATTTCGAAAAAAATGGCGTCCAAAATGGACTCCTATGTCGCGACCCCCTTAGATATACCAGCCCTGACCTAACCTTTAAAATTAGAGATGGGTTGCTTTTTAGTACCTAAACTGCTATTTGACAACTGTTATTGGAACTAAGCAGCTTTCAACTGCTATCGGCTATTACAAATCGCTGCTTCTTAAATAGCAGTTTACTATTTTCACTAATATTTCGATTTCAGATACGCCGATATTTGTGACTGTGTTGTGAGTGCATGGTGCGCGTGATGCGACGATGACAATAGCAATTTGCTAATGCGAATGTCGTATTTTATACGTGCACTACGGATGTTTATGTTTTTCTGTACAATAACAGTTATGGTTAGACCAAAAATGCTGTGCCCTCTTACAAATATTTTCAGCAAATAAATTTGTTTTAAGAAAATTACCCACAACACAAAATTTACGTCAGGAAGGACGTAAATAATGAAATACCGGTAAACACTTAAGCAGAGTAGTCGAACTACATATATGTTGCGATGCTTTAATAAACTGCTATTAAAAAGCAGCTTTTTAGAAAAAGCAGTTACTGTTATAACTGTTAACTGTTATTTAAAAATAGCAGTTTTGGCCCATCCCTATTAAAAATTCTTCTTTTTTTTCTAGGGTTACACTCGATGCATCGATGTTTAAAAAATCGATATTTTCTTTCCGATTTTTGTATAGTATCGATAGACTAGTTGAGTTCGGAAGTTGACTCGTTTTACACTTTTCACTCCTTATCAATATCTCATCACTGAATTACAATGATCGAGCATAGACTGGTTAGTTATCGATTGAAAAGAGTAAAAGGAGTGCACCTCTTAAGGCGGCGTTAGCAAATGTATTAGCATAGGAGAATTTTTCAACATATAAGACGGGCTTTCTAGACAATGAATTTATGCGGATTTGCTTTTATAATATTCTAATAGTATTGAACTAGTTCCTGAATATATTTTAAAGTGGAAAAAAATTGAGAGAATGAAGAAAATAACGAATTTGTGAAAATTTTACATGTAAAAAAGTCATCATAAATCGCTATAAAAACTATTTCAGGAACTAGAATATATTCCCATTAGAGGCTCCGCATAAAAAATATTTCATTTTTTGCTTTCATTTTCCAGTCTTATATGCACAAATTTTTTTAATTTTAACCCAAAAAACGCAACCAACATTACATAAAACAGGTGTAATCCCTGTAATTTTAGGTTCAGGCAATCTTATATAGATGACGCCACCTGAAAATATCAAATTTATATCGAGCAACGTTGTCATATTGTTATGAAGTATCGGAAGCAAGGAAGTTCGTTATTTTATTACAAAAATTAGGTAAATTGTGTTAAGTCTGGTTTTGGAGAAACATTTAAAACGTGTAGAGATTTTGTAAAATATTTCATTTTTATATTACAAAATATAAGAACGTAATTTGTCAGATATTAAATATAATGTTGAGTTTTGTTTTTTCTGGCTGGATTTACGTGAAAATTGGAACAAGATGCATGTGAAAACATCGATCCTGGCCTTTCAAATGCATTTGTGGGTTCACAAATTAGTTGAGAATAGTTAAAAGTAAGAGCAAACTTTTAAGCCAATTTATATTCTTAAAATCAACTGAAAAAGTACTTAAAATATTTATTGAAAATACAATAAATTTATCACACTGATTATTGCAGCATAGTTTAAATTTTATTATTATTATCTCTTCTGTATTTTTGTTTACATTGTATGTTTTTTACTTTCCTATCTGTATACAGATATAAGGAAAGTATAGGAATCATGATTTTTTTCGACCTCGAGTTTTCGACGGATTTTTACGTTTTGAGGTCCCCTGAATCCGTTTTGACTATTTTCGCGATGATGTCTGTGTGTGTGTCTGTAGGTCGCATAACTCATGAACCGATACACAGAAAAACACCAAATTTTAAACTTAAGCTTTGTTTCAGCGTCCAATGAACTGATTAGATTTTGGGCAGAGTCGGAACATCTGGGGGGGTACTTTATAGGTGGTCATTTTTATATTTTATGGAATATATCTGTTATTTACGTTTGGAGAAGAAAATTCTTCAAATAAAAGTTACTTCTTATATAATTATCTATAATTTTTGTTTTATGCAAAATTTTCCTAAAATGGTCCGTATTCGAGAAATTTGACAAAATGTAAAAAAAATAATTTTTTATAAAAATTGTTCAAATAAAAGTTGTTTGTAATATAATTCTCTATAATTTTTATCCTATAAATAATTTCTCTAAAATGGACCGTATTCGAGATATTTGAGAAAATGTGTAAATTTCGAATTTTGAAGAAAACTCAAAAACGGATAAAGGAAAAAACATTAAATTTTAAACTTAAGTTTTATTTTGACCTGAGGTGAACTGATTAGATTTTGGACAGAGTCGGAACATTTGGGGGGGTACTTTATTGGTGGTCATTTTTATATTTTATGGAATATATTCGTTATTTACGTTTGGGGAAGAAAATTCTTTAAATAAAAGTTACTTACAATATTATTATCTATAATTTTTGTTCTATGTCAAATTTTCCTGAAATGGTCCGTATTCGAGAAATTTGACAAAATGTGCAAAATTCTGATTTTTAAGAAAATTGTTAATCTAAAAGTTGTTTGCGATATCGATCTCTATAATTTTTGTTTTTAAATGACTTTTCTGAAATGGACCGTAATGGAAAAATTGGAGGAAAAGTGCTAAATTAAAATTTTTCAGTATTTTCGTTTTCAATGAATATCTATAGAAAAATGTTTCGAGGTAGATGTATGTGGAAAATGTATATATTTAGTTTATCCTCTAAACATTTTTAGAGATGCTGCAATAGGTTAACTAGATAGGAAAGTCATGTGTTGGACACATCAGATTTTTTACTTTCCTATCTGTATACAGATAAGGAAAGTATAGTAATCATGATTTTTTTCGACATCGATTTTTTGACGGATTTTTACATTTTGGGATCCCCTGGATCCGTTTTGACTATTTTCGCGATGCTGTCTGTGTGTGTGTCTGTACACTCGATAACTCATGAACGGATAAACAGAAAAATACCAAATTTTAAAATTAAGTCTTATTCCGGCCTGCGGTGAACTGATTAGATTTTGAGCACAGTTGGCACTTGGGGTACTTTATAGGGGGTCATTTTTATATTTTATGGAATATATTTGTTATTTACGGTTGTAGAAGAAAATTCTTTAAATAAAAGTTAATTCAAATAATATTTTCTACAATTTTTGTTATATACAAAATTTTGCTAAAATGGTTCGTATATTCCAGAAATTTGACAAAATGTAAAAATTCAAATTTTTATGAAAATTATTTATATAAAAGTGGTTTGTGATACAAT